GAGGAAACAGAGTGGTTGCAAATAATTAAGCATCAGAATTATTGCCAATTCAACTTCGATAAGTTTTACTTTTACATTCCTAAATCCGAAGTGCTTTCAAAACCATCGAAACTACAATTTCCTCGTTGATATTGTTAATGTTTTATATTGTGATTATATTGTAATTGTTAAGAATATTGTCCATAGACTAAATTACATTTTTTTTAATTGTTCGTTTCTTTGTGTTATCCAAAATGTTTCATAAAGGAACTTCCGCATCTGGATCGTTTGTAATATTTCCAGATGGTCTTCATACCGATTTACAATTCCGAATCTTCTTGTAGTGGGGAAATATACTACAGTAAAACCTGTCCGAAAGGAACTCTCCTCTATAAGACGGAAAACTCCCACGGACAAAAAAAACGTACAAAAAATTAAGAACGGAAAGGTTTTATACGTGAAAATGCCCTCTATATGCCGGAAACCTGTATAGCACGGAAACAGAATGGTTTTTAGAGAACGTAAAGAGATTATTAGCTGGCCAAGAAGGAAATTTCTTTTTAAATTTCCCGCTATCTCTTCGCAATGGCATTGTAGGAAGGGCCATGTCCTGACTCAATAGAGTGAATGACGATTTTTTCGCTTACACCGGCTGGAAGGGAATTTTTGGCGAACACGCTGACTGTTTCGCTGCGCCTTCCTCATGCAGCGGTTCAAGGTCGTAACAAGCGCGACTTCGTCGCTGTCGCACCAATCCTTGATGTCCGTCCGCACTCTGTTGAATTCTCAAAAAATTTCATATCTCATTTCATTACATATCTTTCTAAATAATCCGAATATTACACACGTACGTAGACGAGAAAATAAAAACTGTAACGTGAAGGTGGTTATCTTCGTCTCTAACTTCCACAGCGTTGCACTGAATCTGCGTGGGAGCGTCAGGCATCTAAAGTTGGAAAGGGGCATCAAAGGAATTGTGCCCTCCGGGGATTTTAGTTGAAGGGGACAATTATATTTTCACATTTCACATTTCAGTTTTATTATTACGGGACAGAAACCTGAGAAAATATGAAAATATAACCGAATACAGGCCAGACTATAAAGAGATATAGGAAAATACAAGGAAGTTTGAGAGCGTAGGCTTCCGCGGCCGGAGTCAGTATTTAATTGGCTGTCCGGATGACGCCGCGTCCATGGCAAAGGTGCCGATGTTTCGGTCGCCATTCTGCAACCTTACGCCCTGAGGAAGGTCGCAGAATTGCAACCGAAACATCGGCACCTTTGTCATGGACGCGGCATCACCCAGACAGTCAATTAAAAACAAGGAAGTTTGTGTCATTCGGTAACACCATTATTGTTTGTTCCAAAGAAACCAAAAACACCACTTCTATTGCCAGAGGCTGCATTTTTTTAAAAAAAATTGTGTATGCATTGGAAATCAATAATATAGTAATGGCCTCCTTAAGGTAGGTCTATCAGGCCGGGAGCAAGTCTCCGCCCACAAATCGCCTAACAAACATTTTTGTTTTTTGGTTACCCCCTCTTCCCACTGTAGCGTATGTGCGACACCGCTCATTGACGAGTACAAAAAATAAAAATGAATTATACAACAGTAAAAACAATTAATTTTGTTCGAGTTGCGTATTACAATTTATAGTTATTAAAGCCAGAATTGGTTGGCAAAACTGAGTGTTACTAACAATAAAATGGGGGACACTTTTTGAACGTAAGAAAGACGCAGAGGTTAGAAATGTCATACAACACGTGGACACGCTGTTGTTGATGACTCATGGGCCAGTGTCTACTGCGTCTATTTAATTGGAATCTAGATCAATTTTAGAGATTGTAGATCTCGTATAATATTCATATATCAATTTTGTATATTTTTTTCGTAATCTAACAGATTCTATCAACAAACCATTCATAAAAAATGTTTTCGCCTATTCTTTTTCAATTTACTTATATTTTAATTTATTTTTAATTTCAAGTTTGAATTTATTGCTAATTTAATATTTATTAATATTGTAATTTTAAAATGTTGAAAATTAAAAAATCATATTTCTGTAACAGTAAAGTGACACCCTCCAACCCTTGCCTCTCCCTTCTTTATGGCTGAGCCCCAGGCGCCGCTGAGGGCGGGGCCAGACGCTGAATGGGCTGCAGGTGCGTGTGTGTGCGTGTGGGCGGTGGGCGCTCGGGCTTCGTGACGCGGCGGGAGCGGGATGTCTTTCCTTTTGCGGCCGCAACGCGCAGCACAGCCGCCCACGGCTCTCTCGTCGCTGCCGCCGCCACGGCCGCGCGCTTCCGACCACAAGGTTAAGGGGCCGTCCATAAATTACGTAACGCGAATTTGGAGTATTTTGAATCCCTCTCTCCCCCCTGTAAAGTGCACGTGAAAATCCCTCTCTAATAATTACGTAACGCTTGCAACAAGCCCCTCCCCCATTTACAATGAGTAAAACTCAACACTCAGCAATGATTAAAATGAGTAACACAGAAACGAGTTGTATTAATTGTATTTGTGCTAAACATTAAATTTTTTTATAATTAAGGTGAGAATTAGTTGGTGTGGCGGACTGCGCCTAACAATATGTTTGGGGATAATTTTTAATGAAACAAGAAAGCGTATGCGAGAAACTTTCTGGATTACGCAGCATCCGAGACTACTGCGCCAACTAATTAGATCTAGAATAGATTAATTGGATTGTAGATCAGTTGTGAATATTTTCTTTGTAATCTAAAAGATTCAATTAATGTATCATTGATCAAAAATATTTTATTTTATAGCAGCAATTTACAGAATATAACATTTTTAATTTAATTTGTTAATATGATAATGTTTTAGTATAAGACTGAATAAAAGGAATTATTTCAGCAAATGATGAAAGATTTTAAAATTAAATATCAACATAACGAAACACTAAAACTGTGACCCTCCTACTCTTACGTAACTCGGCGTAATGCTGCCTCAAACCCCCTCCCGACTTTTCAGCGTTACGTAATTTATGGACGACCCCTAAGACCCTCTGGCTGGTGGACACTCATCGGGGTGACCCCGCCGAGGGGGGGGGGGGACGCGACCCCACCAATATTTTTACTTTCTTACCTTACAAAGTTTACGTAGTATGAAAAGTATTGTAACACTACGATGGAAAGCGGCTGCCTTTTGACCGAAAAACTCTCATTGGTAACGCAAAAGTATGGTTAAATCTTGTTCCTACTATACGTAATAAATAGAATCCGCAAGTTTGGCAAAATGCCTTTTTTTCATTTTTACGATTTTATGACTTTTAACAATATGAATCACTTAATTGTACTTCTGGAGTTGTTTTAATAGATTTTTATTTTGTCTACTTTAGCTTATGATGCCTATTTTTAATATTTTGAATTTTTCTTCCCCTTTCGTTATTACTTTCCTTTTTTTCTCCTGGTACCGAAGGCACGGTTTTGTTTTGTCTTTCTGTGGAAGCGGAGACTCCAGGTTCAGGTAGTGTTAAAAATCGAAATAGCGAAGGACGATGATACCAGTCAAGATAATTTATTTGTTTACACTGATGCCTTCTAGCGTTGTTCACTCACGAGAAATCTCTTCCTGTATTTGAGAATAACCTCCGATCCCTTTTGATGGCAGAGCTCCTCTACCATTTTCGGTGCTGGAGATAACACAAATGTGAAGAAGGAAAACTATAATTCCAATTCCACCGATGCCATTTCAAAGTTCAAATGGGAGACCACAATTTAGTATTTCGTAGAGACAACGTCGCGAGTAAAACAAATTCGTGTCGTCATCATACCGGGTGATATTATGTATTCAAAATTACAAAGAAATAATCGTTTTCTTCCACGTAAGTGCTAACATAAATTTTAGAGTTAGAATGAAAACATGAATCATTTGAATTATTAGTGTTTTTAAACCATTCCTTTAAATTATGATTTTTCTTTGTTTAAATGTCCTTTTGCATCTCTCCTTTAGCCGGAATAAACGCTTTATTGCTTCTCTATTTTAGATAAAATAAATGCCTGAACTTCCAGGCTCTAGTAATAAATGACTTTCTCTCAAACGTAGGGTAATCAGAATCCATGTTCTGTAGGTCCTTGATATCGAAAAGTTGAATGGTGGCAAAACATCTTGTCTACCTACCTGGTTGTGTCTGTCCGACTGTGGTCAATGCTAGGTTCAGCTCCAAGCCTAAGGAGGAGGGGGATCTCAACAAATGGTACAAATGTTTTAGGTGTCCTACCGCGCCATCTGCTCTGGTTCATGATCTCCGGTAGGCGTAGTGCACACAGACATGCACCGCCAAAACCAGACGAGGGGGAAACTATATTTCTGGGCCCCTTTTTCCAGTGAACTTTTTGTTTACACTTTTTTGGGGGGAGGAGTATAACCTAAATGCGTTTCTGCGTAGTTTTAAGGCATCTACAGAGGTGATCAAAAGCTCTTTCGATTTCTCTGAACGAGGCAAATGGAATGTGATGATCTCTCTTTTCAGATAGATCCGTCTAGAACATTCTGAAAAATCAAGGAAAATAGTTATTTATGCACCAATAAGGGTACCTTCAATGTTCCAGAAAATTCGAATAATGAAAATTTATATAAGATGTTTTTGAGAATCTTCTAGCTTCATTTTCTCATGCACTTCTGATCAAATTTCAATGCAATATATTTAACCGTTCAAATGTGATCTTGTACATTTATTCACATTTAAAGTGCTTTGCCTGTCTTCAGTCTCTCTCGCCATAATCCAGTCTTCTGCGTCCCCCTTAAATCTCTCAAACTGCTTTGTGATATTTTTATCATTAAAGCAGTTATATCTTGTTTACTTTCCTACATTTCTACCAAAAGATTCTTAGAAAACGATTGTCTGATCTAGTGTTTAAATTTTAATTTGTGCTGTCCCATTACATTACCTCTCTTTATTCTTTCTCTTCCCTACCTTCTTTCACTATGCAGTAGTTTGTTTGTACCTCTGCCACTTCGTCTACGTCCTGTCTAAGCCTCTCTGCCTTTCTCTTGTCAGATGACTTGCTGGATCGTGAAGAGGAAATTGTCGAGTGTTGTGTAGCAGGAGATGCAGTCAAGGCAGGCCAAGTGGCTTCCGGGCCAAGTATGGTACGGCTGTGCTGCAGCAGCGAGCTGGCAACTACTAGCCAATCTCTAAATGATGATCTTTACTCTCCTTGTAATATAATGTTCTTGGGTGCTACTTTCAACAATGCACTTTCTTTAGCAGGGCCAAGTCAGCAGAGGGGCGTATGTGGTACCTGCCACGGACCTCGCGTTTTTCGAAAACTGACGCTTTGTGACTATTTGTAAATGATCACAAAAACTTTTAAAATGAAAAATATAGTTTTTTAATGCATCGCAAAATATATAAAAATAAATGGAAAGTAGTAGAAATTGGTAGAAAGAACCCTCTAAAATAAAGACAATCAGTTTTAATTTATTTTAGCAAAAAAATAATTAATAGTTTTATTTAGCATTCATTATTCTCATTCTTTCAGCCGTTTTTATTTTAATAAAGATACATTCTAGAGCAACTACGCGTTTCAGTGCTACGAACCTTAGTACCTTAAACCAGCCCTGATAGGTAGACACGATATCAAGCAGTAGAAATGTAACTTGTTACGATACGTATTATAATATTTCTGCGATTTACAAGGAAGCAATTTTTATACAATAGAACTGATTTTGCTGTGTGTCTTGCAAAAAGTCCTTTTTTTAATTACTACACTTTTTTATTTTGATTCGCATTTTATATTCAAAATTCAATGTGTCAAAGAGAGCTGTTAGCAAAAGAAAAACGCATTATTAAAACTTTCCATTTGAATTCCAAAGCAAACCATTTGAATAATCGGTTGAGAGAAAATGAAGACGCCTCTCATTTTTTAAGAAGAGCCTCAAAATGCCTGTAAATAGTTTTACATCGACAAATCTGCAGTTTCGTCTCATCATATCACGCTTCAGGAGTAGCTACTTTGTAATCAGGAAAGTCTCGCACGTGGTTTTACACTAGACAATGTTTCGTTTCAAAGCGTCCAGAGCGCCCAGCACGACATCAAACTGTTTACGGAGAGAGGCAATTACAGCGGAAGAAACGCAGACAGAACCCGTCGCCCATTCATGAGAACGCGATGGCAATTTGCTAGACGTCGCAAACTGCAACTGTGATCAGCAGCACAATTTCAACTCAAGAGAGAGAGGCAAACGCCGAATCTTTGGCCGTGTAGTGATGCACAAAGCTGGATTAACGCCATTGGTATCACCAGACTTTCGGGAAAAACTACTGACCTCCCTTAATAACATTAAACACATGTGTACAATATTTCAATATGAATATGAAACAAACTATAAATTTTCAATTTATTGATATTTATGCACCAAGGACGTTATAAGGGTTCTAATGATCGAGGGGGCTCTAATGATCGGCAAAACCCCGAGAGCCTTTCGCCCGAGATCATTATAACCAGTTAACGCCAGTGGTACATGATATTTTAATTCTACCTCATTTTAATGGTTCATATTTATTTATTTACTGATTACAGAAATATTAACTTGACTCGCTTTCTTTTCGTATTTCCCTGCCATAATTTCCTACATAAGAGAACATGTAGCATCATTCAACTGTTTTCCTCCTTTGCACGATCCTCTCGATCCTGGTAAGTTATGCGGATTATTTGAATTCCGTATCGAACGCAATGACAAACAATAAACGTATTAGAAAAAACAAATATTTTTACATATTTAAGAACTAATAAAATTGTCTTCAAAGTTTTTGGGGTCTTGTATCGCCGTCCGATGAGTACGGAAATAAATGAGCTAATCCGTGGCCCCCCGCGAGCAACGCAACACAACTGCAACAGATTTCTGTACTGGACCCTTATCATAAATTCTGCAGAGTGTGTGTGTGTGTGTGGGGGGGTGGCATGCCTCCTTACTCTGAAAAATTCCCACATTTTTGGGTGTTTATTCAAACGATTTAAACCAATTATTGCATCGCGTTCAAAGGAGCATTCCCATTATAAATACGCTTTAGTTCAAGCAAAAGATAAAAAATAGTATTTCAAAAATATTTATGTTATATATTAGGAGGCACTAAGAGACCTTTAACAAAGAGCAAAGTTTGCATGTACTTTGTGCATGTACGGACGGAATGGAGACCCGACTTACGGCTTGCTTTTGAGGAACGAGTCCAGAGATTTAGCGATAGCGGGCATGCGCAGAATGCTGCCTTCTGGAATATATATCATCACAAGCCCGCGTTCGGTAAAACCCCAGAGTCGCTCTCAAAAGCAAGCGGTAAATCGGGTCTCCATTCCGTCCGTACATGCACGAAACTTGCTGATTGATTGCGTAAATCGTGTCTAAGATAAAGAAGCGTACTGCTGGAAACCTGGAAATCCGGAAATCCGGTTGGCAAAATTTGATTTGCGTGGTATACTTTTTAAATCCTTACAGGCTGCGAAAACTTTCCTCTTGGTCAAAGGTCTGTTAGGGCCTCGTAATATATAACATAAATATTTTTTTTATCTTTTGCTTCAACTAAAAAGTTCCGTCCGTGCATGCACGAAGCTTGCTAATTGATTGGGTATCCAAGCACGAAGATCATTAATCCCGTAAGTGTAGGACATATTGTTTTTATCGCGGAAGGTGGAGTTGATCTTCCCTCACTGGATGGTGAGAGACTGCACACGACAACTACCCGTCGGCTTGCGGGGTTTCCCCCTCGAGGCATCTCCCATCAGCAGGGCGCCGGGCCCTGTCGAGACAAGCTCTAAGCTCCCGACCGGTCTCCCGGCATGTGGTGTAGTGCAGTGCATGTTAGTGTACGTGTGTGTGTGTAATAGGTGAGGATAGGCCAAGGAAGAGGAAGGAAAGATCGTGTGCAGTCCATGGCCTTTTTGCTAGGGTATTGCTCCGTCATTCGCCTGGCGTTGATCGGAGAAACCATGGAGGACTCCCGATCGGAGTTGCCGGCCGTTAGAATTCTCCTCCAGACAGCGGCTGAATTCGACCTAGCTATTGTCGAAGTCCTGCCGCAGTCGGGGATTAAACCCTAGGCCAGAGGCACTGCATTGACATCAACGATGCCCCGAGGCCCCCAATGAGCGTGCCGCTTCAGACAAGTCACTCTCCGCACTAGGGTCGATTCACGCGCGCGCGTTCGCAATTCGCTCGCTTCTTCCTGACCGCGCCGCGGGGGGGGGGGGCGTGTTAGCAATGAGTCACGTGACGGCAAGGGGCCGCGCGCGGGAGGGCAAGCCTTAGTGAGCGGGAGCTTATTGGCGGAGGCGCCCGGACTGCACACTGCTGCCTGCGCGTCTCGTCTCGTCGGGCGCCGGAAGGCGCTCGGCAACTCCCCCCCCTTCGCCTGCACGCCGCCTCCAATACAGGGCGATCGCTTGCGTGGAAAACATGGAAAAAACCGGGAAAAGGCGAGATTTAAACGTTAGAGCCGAGGGAAAATTATGTGTAGTCCTATTAAACTAGATGGAATAATAAATAGATTTCTTTATTATTATTATTATTATTATTACTATTATTATTATTACTATTATTATTATTATTACTATTATTTTTATCATCATCATCATCATCATCATTATTATTGCTCGCGAATAAGCCCACTTGCACCACGTGTGCATTCACCCTGCATTTACGAGGGTCAGTAACATTATTTCTGTGGCAGGTGCATGTAATTTATCATTTAGCTAGATCCAATTTTTGTCCTCCAGGTTTGTCAGTCCTGGTATGGAAGATGAAATGATGATTAGAGTGAGGGGTGAAAGGTCGACACACACATACAGACATACACAAGCACACCCATGCCCGAGATGGGTCTCGAACCTGCGACCTTCTGGTCCGACACCACTACGGCACTCCTGCCTTAACGATATCGGTCATCTGATCGGCTTTATTATTATATTATAATAATAATAATAAAGAAATCTATTTTTTATTATTCCATCTAGTTTTATAACTAATTATATATATATATATATATATATATATATATATAATATAAGATTTCAATTCAGGATCTACTTTTTGTATGTACAGTTCAGGTAGTTTATAATCTAGCACTCCCTCCAACTAAGACTTAAGATAAAGAATAAACCAAAATCATAAAAAATCCTTTAAATATTAGTACAGCGTTACTGTTTGATTGCTGAGTATTGTATCATATTGTTAATTTGTACTTTGTCACGGCGAAATCATAGCTAATCAAGTAGTCAGAAGAATTACAACATTTTCTTAAAGTTGTGTTAAATTACAAATCTTGTAATTTATCATAAATCAAATCAGAAAAATTTCTTCCAGGAAATAAGTAGCCACCCCAACCCTGTCAAAATACAGCTAACACGAAGAAGGAAAAATATCACTGCTGTATAAGGGCATGTATTGTTATTCAATTTAAGGCGGTTTTGCTCGGTTTGTGTTTCGCAAAAGCCGCTGCCAACCTTCGCGCAATTATAACATATAAATTGCGATTAGTTAAAAGTAACATTTTTTAAATTTAACTTCGCAACAAAACATGTTCCATGGGTTCCGTCAAGATTCAAGATATTCATTTAGATTGTACGGTGTTATTTTGCAATGTTTATATTTAGATTTATTTAGTCAAAAAACAGTAAAAACTGTATGTGACCTAGGGGAGAGAAAATTATCTGCGCACGTTTTCTTGAGTTCCAGAATCCCTTCATGTCATTTTCCCTTGAAAGATAAGTAAAAGTTTAACATAAATAAAAATAAATTTTAAAAATCGCAAGATTAGGAATATTTGAAGAATAGTCATTTCCGTTTCCGAGTTATAGAAAACTTATTTGCTTCGGTACACGACTTGCAAGTAAGATTTTTCTGCATTACTAACAAAATAGCCACTCGCCCTTACCTCTACTCTTACCATTACATGCAAAAGGAGAGTTCAACAAAACATGTGCATTATGAAACCACATTTACGTCCAGAAGCAAAACAAGTCTCAGCATTTGCTCAATGGATCAGGAAACTGGACAAAAACCTAATCGAAATGGGTGTCATTAAACCCGGAAGCTGCAGAACATGTTCACAACGATTTGCGTCCATTTTTTGTAAGCTTGCGTTTAGTTGTTAAACGAAACGTATTTATTACGTACAGCGCAGAGAAGGTAATTTACGAATATTGAATGAAATGTGTTGAACAGATTCAAGAAATATTAATTACGTACAGCGCAGAGAAGGTAATTTACGAATATTGAATGTAATGTGTTGAACAGATTCCAGAAATCGGAGAAGGAATTGAAGGTTGTAGAAAATTGGAGAAAATTGAAGAAGAGAAATTGATTTATTTTGTCAATAAATTGTAGAAATTGTATGTGACGTAGCGAGGAAAAAATACACTTTTTTCACATCTTCTTAAGCTCCAGAATATTTTCCCCAGCTTTTAACCATAAATAGTTGAATGGTGAAAAGACGTACCAACAAAGCAAAATTATTAATTTATGAAAATAGACATTTTCGCTCCCGAGTTATAGAAAATTATTTCCATTCATAAACGAACTACACAATTGCGTCGTTAGTATTTATAAGAAAATAGTAAGCCATACCCCCGGCTCTACTGCTACCACTACAAGCAAAAGGAGAGTTCAACCCAACGTGCGCATAGTGAAGCTACATTTATGACTAGATGCAAAAGAAGGCGGCACCTCAGCATTCGCTCAATGTGGCAGGGAAACTGGACAAAACCTGATCGAGATGGGGATCATTAACCCACCAGTTGAAGTACATTTTTTAACATGCATATTACGTAAGTTTTTAAATTGTGTGTTACAAATGTAATACATCATTGTAATGTTACATCATTGTTAAAATAATTGTTCATTTAGTTTCGGATAGTGGTACTAAATTTGGAGAATATAAGATGGGGATGGCAAAGACAAAGCGAGAGAATAGACGTAGTAAGGTATTCATTACAAGAATTCTTATATTTCTGAAACATTTTGCCATTACTTCGATTCATCCTTAATGAATAAAACAGGGAATAATCTGTTTTTGCATTTACAGAACAATGTATGAATTTCGTTTAAACTGTCATGCTCAACTTATTTGAAAAAAAAAAAAAAAAAAAATGTGGCGGAAGAAATTAATTCAGTGTGTGATTTCTTCTTCGCGCTTTTATTACTGTCGGAGGTTAACTGGAAATCAAATTCACAGTGTTTTTGTTATAAAAGAATATCATGAATTTAAACGATGACGCGAAATAAAGAATTACATTTTAACGAACTTAAAAAATGACGAGTTGGTGATTGTGTCGAAACCTATCTACAATTTAGTCTATTTTCGGCATTGAATCAACGTTAATTTAATTACTGGAATCTTTTACAATTTTCAGGTGGGAGTTGCGGTTTGATTTTCACGTTACAATGACAGCATATTGAATAGTTTTGAAACTGTTTCAAACTCTGTTCAGTATTTTCAAGTTAAACCCAGTAAATATCGTTTCATCTATTTACGGTGAAATATTTAATACAAAATGTATTAAATAGTTACAGCTCAACTGGACTACAATCTACATTACCTCATAGCGAAATTATGTCAGTACCTGCCTTCACTCGATTCTGAATTATCGTACCTATGCAAACCCATAATGAATCACAATTTTTAATTTAGCCAACTCTAGTGTCAAAATGTTGAATTAGGGACTTGTTACTCTTGTATTATTTTCTTCCATTTTTTTGTTATTTAAGGTCGCACCAACTTTTAGGTTATTAGCGACCACTGCGTGTAATGGTATGGTAACTGTGAGGATGACACGATATGATGATAATAGGGGTGAAAGGACGAACCAATAAAACCGTGCTCGAGGCGGGACTCGAAACCGCGATCCTTCCAATTTTGTCAGGTCCATAAAAACCCGTTCGCGACACGGCTTCTCGTACGTACGTTTCACACGTCTTGCTCTCTACGCACTGAAGTCGATCTTCTTCTGAAAACATCCACTAATATAAACAATTTAGATCAACATAAGCGTTGACTGGAAGAGGCCGTTTACTCCACAGACGTCACGCGGTTGGTCCCAAGTCGGCAACACACTACGTATCATCGCAAACGTGTATCCGTGATGATGATGCTATTTAAGGTTTAAGGGCTGTGCAAAATCTAAGGTCATTGGCGTCCGTGTCAAATTATTGTAAGAACAGTACGCACTATCACTGTGCTAATGTAAAACATTTTTAAAAAATGCGAAGTAAAATGTGAAGACATAAGCGGAATACGAACGTGTCCAATGGTAATAAAAGGGATTTGACAAAAAAGGAGTTCA